TATTAGAAGTTGGGAAATTGAAAAGTTTGATATTTAAAATAAAAATTTTCACCACCTTGCACTTAAAGCGGATGGTGGGGGAGTGGATGATAGACCCAATCAAGATCCCATAGTTTCGTCGTCCTCCCTGGTCTACTTAGTCAGAGGAGGTAGTCGACCCAACTTGACAGAAGGATCCTTGTTGGAAGCCATGGGTTGCTTCGTCCAAGGGTACATTGTAGATCTAGGATGGGTATTTACCTAAGGGGACAAATTTGAATCCACCCTAGCTAACAGAGGACTTTTTGCCCTATCAATCATATCCCATTGATTCATATCTCAAGGATTTAATGCCATTAAGGAGCGTATTGTCTCTAGCCATATTCGGTATTTCGTGGTGCCATTTGGCGGCAAAACCACTCGGTTCAGAGGGCCCCGGGTCATAACGATTTATCCTGCGGTGTCATTTGGCGGCAAAACTACCGGTTAGAGGACACGTACCATGTCCTTATTTGCAGGAGATTATTTGAGAATGGATAATAGTGATATTTTTGACTAGGCATTAGTTATTTGTGAGCTGAAGTAATTTTTGAATTTGTTCACCTCGGCAAACTTTTATGGATGATGGATGGATTTTTCTTTAAGTGATTGATAGATTTATTTCAATTTTATATATATGGATTTTGGGATTTATGGAGTTTGGATTTTATGGGTATTTGGGTATAGGCTTGGAATGCATTTTGAAATTATTTGGAATGGACCCCTCCGGTTGAGATCTTCGTTTAACACAACCATCATCGGGGTGTGGGGTAATTCATTGACCAAACCTTGTCGACCCTATTACCATGCCCATAGGGGATCGGGTTTTTGTAGATTTCATGCCATTATTAGTGAATTCTCTTGATCATAGGCCTTGAAGGCTTAATATAAATGTATTAAATCAAATACACCGGTTGCCACAATGGTGTATTTGTTTGAAGGTTCCAATCCTGTCAACTCCTATTGATCCGCATAGGAGGATCGGGTTCGAACTTGAATTCACTTACTGACCCGCACAACATATTTTTTTTTTTTAAGGAAATGCATAAAATTGCATTAAAAAAGAAAAGGAATAAAGTAATTATTACAACCTAAAGAGCCAAAATAGTAGATTCCTCCTTTATTATAGACAAAAATAAAGGAGGAATCTTATTAATAGTAATGTCATCCCAAATAAACTGGCTCATCACACCATAGTTCGCACATAAATCTACCAACTTGTTACAACTTCTATCTACACAATTGAAAATGACGTTATTGAAATCTCCAAAAAGATAAGTATGTTCATACCTTGTATTTCCCTTTTGTTTAGCCATCTTCAAGAATTCCATAACATTATGATTGTCTCCTTCTATGATAATACATTTGTATTTGAACATCCAATCCTTCAACACTTCTTTAATGTGTTGAGTAGCAATGAGTTCCAAAGAATAGATATCCCAATGGATATACGGTTTACCAAAAGCAAGAAGGAATCTTCCTTTGTGATCACGAAAAATA